TGGGATTTCTACAGAATCTTGAATCCTACTCATCACTTTTCAGGACAAAATCTACATAGGTGGGTGGAAAAATTTAAGGTTGGAGGAAGTTGTTCATTAAAAACAGCAGAAAGGAATGTTTTGAGAATATTCAGGACACTTCAAACTACCTAATACCTAGATCTCAAGGTGCTTCTAGTCCTAAAGCTCTGGCTAGATATGTATGCCAAGGGGATTCTGTATTAAAATTAGGTTTCCTTTGATAACATGAGGAGCGGATTCTGCTTTGTCAGTTTGGGAGAGTGGAATCCTCAGAGTTTGTTCTAATCATTTTCTTCCCTGGTATCTGCAAACATACTGAGGAGGAGTTTTATCAAGATATAAACCAGTCATGAAATTAAGCACCAAACTACGTGACCAGGACCAAAGTACATCTCCAGGGCAAACTTTGAGGTTGTATAGTATGGTGGTTAGGAACACAGACCGTGGAGCCAGATAAACCCAGGTTCGAATCTGATTCCGCCACTTACTTAGGTGACCTTGGGCAAGTTACATGGTCTCCCTGGACCAAGCTTCCTCATGTAAAGCTGTCATTTCTAGAGTTCTGTTTGGTATTAAATGAGATAGTGAATAACAGAATGTCCACTATGACAGAAACTGCTCAATAAATGGTACTTTTTATAATTACTCAAGAGAACCTTGAGAAAACAAGTAGTCTCCTTCTCTTCTTTCTTGTTAGTTTCCTGGTTTATGGGGGCAATAGGAGCCCAGGACCACCAGGTCCTCATTAAAAACAAAAACAAAAACAAAACCTGTTGCCACTGAATCGATTCTGACTCACTGCAACCCCATGTGTTATAGAGTAGAACTGCTCCATAGGGTTTTCTTGGCTATAATCTTTACAGACACAGATCGCCAGGCCTTTCTTCCATGGTGTTGCTGGCTGCATTCAAACCACTAACCTTTAGGTTAGCAGTCCAAGTGCAAACCATTTGTGCCACCCAGGGAACTTTTCATGCTCTCTTGAAGACCAAGTTGCAGATCTTGGCCACTCACTTCCCCCAACTCAATATCTCAGTGGCTTCAGGGTATACCTTTCCTCACCTGGCCCTTGGTCAACCATCACCCACACTGACTGCACCATAACAGAAGGGAATTTCAGAGCCACAATTATTTACTACTTAAAAAGTTATGTTTAGAACATTTACTTCCTCAGCTGTGGAAAATGTCCAGAAGCCCAGTTACAAGAATATTTTGATCCCACAGGCCTGTTCTTGACCTTTTCTCCTATTTCCATTCCTCAAGCTCCTGAGCTTCACTATTTCAGCCCAAATACCAATTGACCACACCTGTCCAAATACTTCCTTCTGACTACACAGAAGTGGAACAGTCCAAATTATGATATATAATCTTATAACACTACCTCAAATCTTTTTTGAAAGAATCAAAAAAGAAAGACATTAATACATGTATAAATGAATGAATGAATGAATGAAATAAAAGCAAAAAAAATTAAGATACATTTCTCCTAATAAACATTCCAATATACATTACTTTATATATACTATTATTAATACTAAATAGATATCTGCCTAATCCATTTATTATTAGTAGTCTTAGTCATTTGAAACCATTTAAGTGAATCTGTTTCACTTAGAACAATGCATTCTAAAACGCATGATAGATTGATATTTTATGACAGATATATTTAACATTCAACCTTTTTCCCTATGTCAATAGTCTATATCCTTCTTTCCATAAACAAATAGTAAAATTATTTCAACTAATAATAATAAAAAAAAAAAGAAGTGGAGCGATGTACCAGATCAGGCACCCAGCTGAGAGCCAGAAGAGGGAGCCTGAGCCTCAGCTCTGCCCATTGTCACCGTGACATCATGAAAAACCACTTCACCTTTATGCGTTTCTGCAAAAGAGGGATAATAATGCTAGCCCACAAGTGTCAGATGAAATGTTTCATAGATTCACTCCTAATATTTTAGCATAGGCAGCTGCGGCTAACCTCCCTCCCACCTCCACTCTGCTATCCCGATGCACTTACCCAAGGTCTCAGAGTTAGTTGGTGCAAGACCTCCAACAAGAACCTGGAATTCTGGACTTGGTCCCCTGCTTCTTCCATTGCACCATATTTGCCCCTTTCCTTGGAGCTTCCATTAAAGAGTCTAGTTCTGTGTTCTACCTTCTCTCCTGTCTCTGAGCCCATCATCTTTCTGTCTTTCTGACTTCTTTCTTTGCAGAACTGTGCATCATCCTCTCACTCCCTTCAGCAAGTGAATCAAAACCATCAAGGAACCCTTCCCGGGTAGATAGAAAGCCATTTCATGCCAGGGTCTGATACACTTTCAGAGCCTGGGACAGAAACTTTTCCTCCTAAAGATTCCACAGCCCTAAGCAGCAGCCCTGGTAGTGAAGTTGTTAAGAGCTCAGGCTGCTAACCAAAAGGCTGGCAGTTCGAATCCACCAGCTGCTCCTTGGAAACCCTATGAGGCAGTTCTACTCTGTCCTATAGGGTCGCTATGAACTGGAATCCATTCAACAGCACACAACAACAAGCAGGATAAAGGGGGATCTTCTTGAACTGATACGAGAAAATCTTTCCAGCATGAGCAGTTCTAAAGACTCCAGCAAATTCCAGGATAAGAAATTCCCAGTTTTGCAAAACATTTCCATATATAATAGTAATTATAATGCTAATATTCATTGAGCACAATTTACTAGACATAGTGCTAAGCCTTTTAATGCATTATTTCATCATTTATTTCTCACAATAATTGAATGAAAATAGGTAATATTATCATTCCCATTTCACAGATGGGAAACTTGAGGCTAAGAGGGATAATTTTCCCAAGGTCACCCACCTGGTAAGCGAGGGAAACTGGAGAGGCAGCCTCAGCCATCTGGCTCCAGAGCCAGAGCCTCTGACCACTGTGCTCTCCTGCTGGACACCCCCTCCCTGCTCCTCCTTCTACTTCTCCATCCAGAGCTTCTTCAAATCAGACACATGCAAACTGTGGGAGCTCTCAGAGGTGGCTTTGAGAGGGTGTGCCCTCCTTCAAACCCCAAGGACCCAGCCCCCAGGGACTAGAGTCATCTTCTCAATTCCATGTAGCATGTTGAGCTCTGTGGTGATCAATCCTGCTGTTTTTCCGAGAACAATCTCTATTCGCAAATAAAAGCATTTCTCTGCAGCATTCCTCCTTGAAAACTGGCAGCCTCTTCCAATAACCACCAATCAGGCACCCAGCCATTAACCAAGAGCATCTCCTCAGTCAAAGAGGCAACCAAAAGGAAATACTAATGAGAATGTCTACTAACTACCCACCTGTGCCAGCCAGCGTGTATTACATCCTTTCCATGCCCTGGCTCATTAAAACACTATACGTGCTTGACTGCTTATCCTGGTACCTCCAGGTCCACTCTACACCCTTCTCCACCTGCACTCTGCCTGAGGAGGCTGACGCAAATGGGCATCAATGGACTCCCTTGCCGCCTGGCCTCTGGCTGGTTTCTGCTGATGGAAGCTCTAGCAGGAGACTGGAGGGAAGGAGAAGATTAAGGTATTTTTTCTCTGGCTCTCTCCCTCTACAGTCCCCTTGGGCTAGGTGTTTCCCTTACTTAAAGGTCACCCCATTTCTAAAGGTTGCCTTCTTACCATGATTCTCTCCTTCTGGGACACAGGAACCCTTCTCACAGGAGTCCTTGAAAGCTTGCCAGAATTTATGGATCTCAGAATATCCTGAAACTTCTCTTAGTTCTAGTTTCTTTCATACATACACATCATTAAAACCCTAGTGTGCAGTAAAGGTTAACTCAGTAGGTTTGGGCATTCAAATCCTGTATTTTCCAAAGAAAGGACTGGCCCTTGACCAGCTTCTGGGAAATAACCTCTAAACCCTTGGAATATCCTGCCTGATAAGAGTGTCTTCGTATACTTGGGGGCCTTGGACAACACCAGTTTATGCTAACAATGTGATTTATGGTGAGGGCTGTGAGCCATGCTGTATTAGTTTGACCTCTGGAGGGGATGGAAACTGAGTAACTGAGGTCAGCCACATGGGCACTCTGTGCCTATGCTACTGACGCCAATAAAAACCCTGGACACAAGGCTCAGGTGAGCTTCCCTTGTTGGCAACACTCTACATGTTTTCATACATCATTGCTGAGTGAATTAAGTGCTGTCTGTACAAATCCACTGGGAAAGAACAACTGGAAGCTCGTGCCTAGTCTCTCTTGGACACCACCTATGTCATTTTATCTTGGCTGATTTTAATCTGTATCCTTCCACTGTGATAAACTGTAACCATGAGTATGACAGTTTTCTGAGTTTTATGAGTCCTTCTAGCAAATCACTGAACCTTAGGGTGGTCTTGAGGACTTCTGACTCACCTGGAAAACATCAAAATCTTTCTGTCATAACTTACTACCATAGTAGTAGTCATAGACAGAAAACAGAAATACATATGTTCAAGAACATTCAGTAAACATTCAGATGAGATCCAAGAGGATAGCCCAGGATGGGGAAACTGGGAGGTTTTAAAGATATTTTAATCATTTCAAGGGACTTTTAAACTGTGGGTCTGGGAGCCCCGTGGTTGCTGGGACTAAGATGATACGGGATAGACAGATGGGAACACATCCAGGACCCAACCTTTGGGGCTCTGATTGGAGGTGGAATACTAGGTTGAATGGAAAAGAGGGTCTAATTAAATGTGATATTTCTCATCCACTTGTGTTATACAGATTACTTTTCCTTGTACCCCAAGTTTCAGAGAAAAAGAAAATATTCTAAGTCTGAGTCTTCCAAGATAGAATGAAGCAAAAGAGAAAAAATAAATACCAAGATGTTTAAACAGTGTGTTTTCTTTTCATAGAATAAATGCCATCAGCTTCATACCACAGTAGGACTCACTTGCCTCTGCAGATGCATACCAGATTATCAGACACAGTGAGCCCTAGGTTCACATGTCCAGCCCCCCATGCCAGCTGGCGCTCCTCCCACTCACCTGGCCCCGCTGACATCAACTCCGACCATCAGCTGCCCATTCAGGGAGAGGATCTCATCTCGCAGTCGGACCTTCCCACTCTTCCCTGCGGGGCTGTTCTTCCTCAGCTCTGTCACCCAGATGCAGCCCACATCCAGCACGGGACCCTGGTGGGTTTTCCTCTTCTTGCCCCCTCTGCGCTTCTCACCATAGTCCCCGAAGACAGGGATGTTCCCAAAACTAAGGCCCACAGTCTCTGTGTCTCCCAGCTCCTTGGTGAGGTACACAGTACAGATCTCCATTTCCGGGAGCGTGAGGTCAGGCGGGACGGTACTCTCATCCACAGCAAAGTTCAGCTGGATGTACTCCTGCAGCTTCTGGATGGCCGCCTGGCAGAGCCGCTGCTCCGGCCCGGCCTCACCCTCCCGCAGGCTGTTCTGCAGCCACTGGCAGAGGAGGGGCAGGTGCAGCACGGCATTGTCCTGGGTGATGGGCATGGTGCTCACTCTCGGCCACCAACATCATGAGAGAGCCTGCTCCTGGGGGCCAGGCCCCATGGGGCCCCATGTCCCTTGGGAACCCTGACTGTCATCAGCTTGGCCTATATTCATGTTAAGGCTGGCAGATGAGCTCAGGAGATGCCTACTGGGGACTGGGCTGTTTGCCTTGGCAGGAGGAGGACAGGACACAATTAGAACAACAGTGGAACAATTACTGTAGAGTGCTCAACGAGAGAAGGAAGGAAATGTCTGACAAGTTCTTGCTTGGTCCACTGAACAGCAGGGCCCATGCAAATGACATGGAAATGGGGTATTCCTCCAAGAGGGACAGCGTGTCCTCCCCGGGCTCATTCACACCTGAAAGGAAAAGGAAGAAACAAAACATTCCAGTCACTACAATGAGCTTCTGACACACACACAGCCTTCTCTATTACAGAAGGATGATGTTGGCTTTTCAAATACCGAGCTTGTGCCAGGAACCCAATGCTTCTCTCCAGTCCCCAGTGTGGCTCCCTCTATCCTGTACACATACACACACACACGTGCGTGCGTGCACGCGCGCACACACACGCACACACACCCCTCCCTCAGACAGAAGCTTCTGGAATGCTGATGTTCTCCAGGAAGCTTCTCTGATCAGTAAGGAAATGAGGAGACTTCTGCCAGGACAACTCTCTTACATAGACCAACAAACTCATGTACAATAAGGAGGCTGTGTGACAAGACCCCTTGAGAGGTTATAGAAGGGTTCTCGGCAAATTTAAAAGCGTATATGCCTAGGAAGCTAAAAAAATTTTGTCCATTTGCCTTGAACAGCCCTACTGCACACACAGGAGGGACCTCCATTCCAGAGCTCCAGACAATGCTACAAAGAAAAAGAAAGAGCCAATCAACACCACAGAGATTCCGGCTCTGCCCCAGGATACTACCAGTCCACAGAACTGCCACCACTTCCAGCATGTAGATTCAGAGGGAATATTCTGCCTTTGCATCCCACAGCTACCTTTAGTCTCCTTTTTTCATTTTCCTCCTGTAAACCGTTAAAAGTGGCATATTTCAGGCTAGCCCAAATGTCATCTCCTGGGTGAGAAGACTTTGCCCTTCCTTTGCTTGCTTTTTTCTTAAATATATATATTTTAAATTATGGTAAAATATATGCAACATAAAAACTAGCGTTTTATCCATTTTTAAATTGTACAATTCAGTGCCATTAATTACATTCACATTATTGTGCAACCATCATCACTACCGATTTCCAAAACTTTTTCATCACCCCAACAGAAACTCTGTGCTCATTAGGCCATAACTCCCCATCTCCCCCTCCCCCAGTCGCTAGTAACCTTTAACCAACTTTCTGTCTCTATGCATTTGCCTATTCTAGATATTTCATGTAAGTGAGATCATATAATATTTGTCTTTTTGTGTCTGGCTTATTTCACTTAGCATAATGTTTTCAAGGTTCATTCATGTTGTGGCATGTATTAAGACTTCATTCCTTTTTATAGCTGAATAATTGTATGGCTATACCACATTTTGTTTACCCACCCATAGCTGATGGACACTTGGGTTGCTTCGACCTTTTGGTTATTGTGAACAGTGGTACAATGAACACCGGCGTCCATGAATCTCTTTGCTGGCTCTCTAACACATTGCCCACAGCCCTGCTTCTATTCCACTAGGTAGAACACTAGTTGCAGGAGGTGTGTCTCCCCTACTAGGGCTGGCATTGACTGGTCTTGTCCTCTCTGAATTCTGCACTGTGCCTTGCACATAATAGGTCCCCAGTGAAAGGGTAACTGAATTCCAATGCCAGTTCTCCTTCTCCATCAAAGAAAAATTTTACCTCCAACCTATGTAAACCCAGAAAAATGATTCCTTTCGGAGCTTCACTTTCTCCCAGAGGAAGTCAATATAAACCACAGAGTCTAAGATGGAAAATGTTCCCCAGGATTCTTGGGAAGTGATTTAACAAGGAATAATAATAAACAAGAGAGGTGTCAGAAGCCCTGTCAATAATAAATGACCTTATTACTCAGTAACCATAAAGGAATTTCCAATATAGTGAGCTCTGAGTTTCCAAAAAACTTAAGTGCCAGTTATTAGTTGGCTCCAAATAAATTGAAAGCTGAGCAAGTATCATCTACATAGTCACCTGCCTATGAAAAAGAAATCCAAAATCAAAGAAAAAATAATCCATATATGTACAAAGATTGAGTGTCTCTTGTGGCCAAAATAAGTAACACCTCTCACTGAAAAATAACTTCACACACAGACATATTAAAATCTTATGAATAAAGCAAAACAACTAGCCTAGCAACTTTATGAGTCTCCATTTCTTCATCTAAAATGAGAAAGTTAAGCTCTCCTCAAACACAATGACAGTGTCTCATTCATCAATACATTATTCCCTACTATGGGACAGGGCCTGTCACACTGTGGACTCTTGATTAAGAGAAAAAAATTTCAGATCCTTTAAATTAAAATTTTAATGGTCTGTGCTTCAAGGTGTCAGTCACAGATGACATGGTTCTGTTGTTGTTGGGTGCCGTCAAGTCACTTAAAACTCACAGTGACCCTATAGGACAGAATAGAACTGCCCCATAGGGTTTTCTAGGCTGTAATCTTTCCAGGAGCAGACTGCCAGGTCTTTTCTCCTGTGGAGCCACTGGGTGGGTTTGAACCACAGACCTTTCTGGTTAGCAGCTGAGCATTTAACTGTTGTACCACCAGGGCTCCTTGAGATGATTCTAGACATATGAATATAGAGTAAATATCTTGGGCAAGTCTGACTGAAGAAAACTGAACTTAAGTGTAATAAAGAATCTTATTTTTCCAGGTGTCAATTTGTATTCATTCATTCAACAAACATTTATTGAATATCTATTATGAACCAGGCCTTGAACTTGGCACTGGGACTATAACTGTCAATAAGTTATAGTCCTTGCCCTGAAGGAATTCATAGCCTAGTGGAGAGATGCATAAATGAATGGAAATTAGAGTGTAATAAGTCTATGACAACCCTGTTAACTGCCTCTACCTGCCAGAATTGACAGAGCTACATTCCTGGCAGCCATGGTTATAGAAAAAAACCCACCCCAGCCCCTGCCAATTGGTCCAGAGCTTTGCATCTCATCCAAGTTGGGACATGCAGAGTTCTTCCCCTAACAACTGAGAACCAGACTCAGAGAGAAAGCATTAGTCTCTAATGCGTGGCAGAAACTAGAACTTTTGATCACACGGTCTCTGAAAGGCAAGATTCTAGCTGCTGTGTGGACTGAGTAGCAAAGAAAGTCAACCTGACAAGGAATAAAAATAAAGTTGATCAGTAAACGGGCAGAGGTGCAAGACTGGAGAGAGAGAACTCCCTGGACTCCCCATAGCAGGCCTGTTCTTAGCTCTTTCCATGGATAGGGCTGCATTGCTACCTCTCCCCATCCCCAATCTGAAAGACTGTATCAATCCTTACAATAAATTACACTTTAAAAACTTAACTACTTAGAAAAGAAAAAGGTAAATCAAAACAGAACTTTACCATGAACAACTGCCCCATTTTCCATGAGATCAGAAGAACTGGATGGTGCCTGGCTACCTTTACTGAACATTTTGATCAAAGATTCTATAGATGAATCCTGATCAAAAGGTGGAAAAAACAGAACAGAATTACAAATTCTCATGGAATCCAGACTTTCTGGATCCAGGGAGGCTAGATGAACCCCCAAACTAATGCCCTGAGATAATTTTTAAACCTTAAACCAAAAATATCCCCTGAAATCTTCTTAAAACCAAACAACAGTTTAGCTTAACTAGTAAAGAATGTTGGTCTTGAGCATTTTGCGCTCTTTTAAGATCCATCTATATGGGATCAAACTGAAAACACCAACAGGAAAGATTGGACAGGAGCCTTAGGAGGCAGTGAGTTATGTTAATGCAGGAGGAACAGCTCAGAAAAGGAGGGTGAGAATGGTTGCACAACTCGAAGAATGTAATCAATGTCACTGAATTGTACATATAGAAATTATTGAATTGGTGTATGTCCTGCTGTGTATATTCTCAACAACACAAATGAATTATTTTTAAAAAAAACAAAAATTTTAATCACAATTAACACTACTTTGATTTGTTTTCTGCTACTTGTGACTCAAAAGTTGTTAATACATTGGAGGTGAGCGAAGTTGATTGGTTGTCCATCTGTAGGAAAATACAGTTATAGCCAAGGTGAGGGGGTCACAAGATATCAGCATGGCTACTGGGAGTCCACCTCACTGACCCTGAATGTGGTGGGGACTGGGGAGCAGTTTTCAGAAAAGGAGAAATTGTTGCAAAGTGCTCAGACACCTCCAAAGACATCTAGTCTTATTCTCAGGTGTTCGTGGGCTACATAACCTATCAATTCCATACTTATAACTACAAGAACTTCACAGTAATCCTTCAACTCCCTATTCTATCTACTCATTTTCCTGAAATTTTATATAAATAGAGAAGTAGAGGCATTCCCACCTACTCCAATGATTTGAGATAACTCAGGGCATATGAAAAGATACACAATTTTGCAAAACTACGAAAAGTAGGATTTTTCTACAACATCCAATAAAACATTGCAGTGAACAAAATGTTAACTAGAGAAGATTCAGAAGAACAGGAATCTGCAAAGAGTTACAAACATTGCCATTCCCCAACGGCTGGTCTGTGCAAAGGTCTAAAAGCTTCTTGTTCTGAAGACTGGTCCATTTCAACAGTGAGCAAAATTTGCAGACATCAAGGTCCACTGCAAGGGTTCAGTTCACGTTTGTCTATCACACATAATTCTCCAATTAGACTCCCATCTCAAGCAAACAACCATGAAAAGTTAAATTAATTTTGAGCAGTTTGAAGTTGACAGCCTTAACATTCAAAATAAATGCTTCTGTAACTGAGGTAATTTATTGATATTGTGTTAGAATTTAACAGCTTACTTGAATTTGCTATCAGCGAAGTCATGCATTCTCAGTGTGGGAGAGATTGCCTCTGAGGGGGTAAAAACTGGTTCTGGGGCAGCTGAAAAAAAAATGTAGATATTATAATGGTTAGTGGTTCTCCTATAAAGATTACAGCCTAGAAAATCCTATGGGGCAGTTCTACCCTGACACATGGGGTCACTATGAGTCGGAATCAACTCAATGGCACCCAACAACAACAGTGGTTCTCCCAAAGCTCAACCCTACCTGACAAAATCTTATTCTTAGTATTTAATTTCTCATGTTAGGAAGAATTTAATTTTTTTTTTCTCCTTGGAAGGAGAGAGGATCATGGGTGATAATGAAAAAAGTTTGAGAAATACTCAGCTGAATGAAACCGTTCATCTGCCCAAAGTTACAGGTCCAAGGTCACCCAAAGTCTAGAGGCTAAATCCCTAACCTGGCAGGGGATATAAAACTTTGGTTTATCCAAAGTCCCAGAGGATGGAGCTTGACTACTAACCTAAAGTTTGGCAGTTCGAACACACCCAGT